TATAAATTGATAATACCACCTGCAAATAGTATTTTTCTAAAAAATTCCTTAGAAATCTGGTTCATTCAAAACTTCTTAACATTTATTGACTTTGTAGGATGTGCTTATTATCCTAGTATCCTAAACAAGACTGTCCAATTTCAAGCTCTGGAAACTGATGAGCCCTTGTGAATCCTGTATCTTATACATTTTTAATTAAATAATACTTAAAGTATGAGTTACTTATTAATATGTATCTTTTCAAATTCCATGATTTCCTATTTAATTTAGAATGTTAGTATACAACATTTCTCCATTTAAAAATATTTTAATTGTTGATTTAATGTGATTCCTTTTTGATCCTCTTATTCTAGTAAAATATCATCAATTTAAAATTGATATCGTTAGGATACCCACCTTTGAGCAACCAGCGTGAGCTAAGGTCTCTAAACATACATCTATTTTATAGAGCTGTCTTTAAGTCCCTTTATCATTTTTAGTTAGCCATTAAAAACATAGTACAACCTCATTAGATTGGCAGCTACTAGTCAGGATAAGTAATAAGCTACTCAGTTACAAGAATTACCAAATCAATAAATATTTTTAAATGCTTAAAAGCATAGAATGTCAAACCACTCAATTCTTGTATTGTATTGGATAAATGTTTTGAAGAGAAGAAAGATAAATACAAAATTGTGCAGGTAAAAAAGTGTAGTCTGAGCATCTTTATTTTAATTTTTTTAGAATTAATTTGTTGATCTGATTGTGAGAAAAAATGGAGTCTAAATTTCTTATTGAGTTTGTTTCAAAGATTGAATCAATATCACTGGATGTAAAAGACATGAATTACTTAAGAAACTACTCTTTCTAATTCTACCCAAGTTACATTATCTGTCCATTTTTGTAAAATTATCCATTATTTTCAGATACTCTACATTTTGCCTTGGTGTCCAGGTCCTTTACTCAGGGGCTGGGTTCTGAGGCTGCAGGTGGCTATGTGCAAGCACTACTCCTCATCCAAGTAACCCAGTGGGCAGATCCTCACCGCAGAATTGTAACTTCTGTTCTTGGGTTCCCCTGACATATTTTGTCATCTCTAGACAAAAACACAATGGAATCATTTTCTCATGTGTTTTGTAATAATGAAAGCCATCCCACAGTTTCTATAATAGTAATCTGAAATGACAAAAATGGCTCAAAGCAACATCCAAGATTGCTAGTTATTCATTCTAGGAATGTATGAGATTCTTACTACAAAGTTAAAATTACATTACGAATACCTTACTGTTAGCATTTCAATATTCAAATATAATTTTATATTCTAAATAGAGCTTTGTAAAATCTGGTCTGCAGATGTTTTCTGTTTTGTTCAACTTAAAATGTATCTCTGTGCTACATCCATTAACAAACACAAATTCAGCCAATATTTTCATATTTAATTGATGGCTCTGAATGATAAATAAGATCCACAAAATGAGTAGAAAACAAAAAAAAATCTTGAAATGCCTTTTTATACATATTGGAGCCAGATTTCCAGGACTTGCAAAGAGTTAACTCTCAAATATGAAAATATGGGAAATTTCATACATTCTTGAATAAGAACAAATCCAGAAAAATATTTAAAGACTTATATGACTGACAGTTTTTCACTAGTATCATTAAAGGGAATTATGTTCCCGAACATTGTCAGACACAAGTAAATTTACATTACCTGTCCTACACCCATTGACACTTTCTGCATTAATGTGAAACTTTGGTTTATTAGAAAGATGAAATAGACCTTAAAGCTTAAAATACAGGTGTTTACTCAGAGTCCAGATTCATTATTTTTTAACTTTAAAACATTTATAAAAGTTCCTGGAATGTTTGGAAAAAATAACCATCATTGCAGTATTTATTCACACAATTGAACTTTTTTTTAGAGGCCCAGGTCCTATACAATAATTAAAAATCACTGCAAATGACATCAAATATAATCATGCTTGATAGAATTATGTATTTTTATGGGAGTTCAACTTGTGTGTTAAAAACTCTGATAGAGGATTGACCATTTTGTTAAAGTAAGTAGCAGCAGTTTAAACAAATCAGAAATCAAGTTCAGTGCATAACTCACACATTCCATATTATTTATTGATGGCTAAGTAAGAGATTCAAAGAATAATTTAACTCTAAAATTCTGATATAAATTACTTAAATACCTGTAATATGTTTTATGTGAAGACAAGAAAACCCTTAAATATTGACCATTAAATTGATGATAGAATACAGTATTGAATGGAAAGCTGTCTGATACATCATCTTTGGAAATATAAAATAAATAGTATTCATTAGAGTACTCATGAGAAATAATACTCATATTGTTATTATTTCTTAAATAAGTGTTAGTACCAAAAATGTGTACAGAATATGAAACCAAGTAAAGTCTCATATGAACCACTCTGATAAAACACTATGAAAAATTTATTATTTTATTTTAATCTGAAAGGATTCTAGTTTCTCAGACTTTATTAGTAATATTAAGTAGTTTTGGATGTCTAATAATTTTATCTTAGTATTTAATATTTCCTATAATATTAACCTCAGTGTTCCTTCAAGTCAAACAAATTATTTCTCACAACATATTAGAATTTTATAAAACTTTTAGGAAAGATTTAATATATTAAGTACTTGGTCAGGCTGAAGTCTTTGAAAAGTTTGAGAATATAATTTGGAAACTGGAATTATAAAATTACACTTTTAAGTCCTATTTGCAAAGAAAAATAAATTCTGTTCCAAATACTTCCTTAGATCTTTTGTCCTATTCTTAGTGTTTCCCGAAAGCGTCCACTTCATTGTGTTATTAGGTGTAAAATGTGGCAGGTTTGCTCAATGTGTGTCTGTATTGTTTTCCAGGTGAACAGGATGATTCTACCAAGATTTCATTACTGTTCACAGTTGGCGCTTTGTAATTCTATGTAATTTTAATTAAAGAAGAATTCTGAAACAGCCTCCCTCTGTGCTACCTCCAAGCATACAATTAGCAGAGCACAATGTCTGCTGTGAACAGTCAGTTAATGATTTCAGTTTAATAATTTATTATCGCTTCTTCAGTGCAAACCATACTAGAAAAATAAGAAGCTAAACTTGTATGGGACAAGCAAGCATTTAAGATGCATAGTTTAACAATTTCAAACACATTATATTCTCTGCATAAGACCAACATCTCCACAAGCCCCTGAGTATTTGCTTAGGGGGTGAATGCCATTTTCTTTCTTGAGGACTGCAAGAGAAAATATATTTAGTTTTCCCTGTTAAATGTAGCTGTGTCTAGTAGATGATTGTTATGTCAAAGAAGCCTCCTCTCAGTACTTAAAAACAAGACACTCTTCTCAAATACATCTTTGGGGGAGGGAGGTGTGGCTATAAGTTCTTACACTAGTATTAAGACAATTTAAAACAGTCTTTTTCACAAAAGTCTCTAATTGTCACCCTGAGTCATTTCTCAATTCCAAAAAATCAGAGCCAAACATTAGAGCTGTAACTCTGAGCTTAGAATGATTTTTCCTTCAATGAAATCACTTTTATTATTATAGTAGAAAAAATTAAATAATTAAATTAGTCATTCTTTTATCTAGTAAATAATGTAGTCTCTAAATAATCACCAGTTCTCTCAATAAATTTGTATCATGTTAGTACATTCACAAGTTCATATTTCAATTGGAAAGTTGTAGGAGAAATTGCTTGACAGAAAAATAATTTAGATTAAGTTAAAAGAAAAATAACATATAACATACTTTTTCTGATACTGGGAATCAAGCTCAGAACTTTGTGCTTGCCAGAAAAACATTGTGCTGCTGAGCTATGTCCCTGACCCCCCAAACCATATTTTAATATATTTTTAATGATACTCAATAATGGTACTAAGAAAAGGTAATATATTTGATGTAATTATAACAGAAATCTTTATATTCAAATTCATAATTACATATATACATATGCATATATTTCATTCCACATAGTAAGTATAAATTATCAATAGATTACTTTTTCTCGATACCAGTATTTATGTATTGTTACACCCTGAAACTATTCTGTTTCCCTTATGTATAATTTTTAGACTTTTGTTAAAGACTTAATCTTAGAAAGATTGACTTTATTAGTGTAAAGATTTTATCTTAGAAAAACAAATAAAAATTGATCAAAACCTGAAGTTGTAGAAGTTACATGTATACTAAATTTTAGTAGTTCATACTTGAATTTAGTTTTAGCTTATTATGTATATACATAATTAAAGAAAAAACAATCAAAATTATGATTAAACATACATTAGCTACAGAAAAAGGTAGAAAAAGAAATATAATTTAGTTGTTCTTTTTCCCAGAGATTAAGTGGAATGTTTTAATAGCCTAGACATTCAAAAAATATCATTTAAGTATAATGCCCCTAAATGCAACAATAGGAACTCAGATATACATAATTTACTACCTAAACTTTCCTTTGACAATCTTCTTTAGCAGTGAAATGTAACTTCTTACAGCAAATAATCCAATTCTATAAGTATGTCCATAAACAAATCCATAAATGACAGTGTATCATGTTGCATTTTATACAAAGTTTTTCAGTAAACAATGAAAACAATACCAGATTACTCATGGTGGCAATCAAATTATTACCTTTAGCTTATGGTTCATAAATTCTGTGTCATTTTTTAATTTGAAGAATCATTGTCATTGTACCACATTTTTGGCTTTCCTATCACTTCAGAAGTTAAACAAAATGCACCAAAATTTACAACTACTTTCAATTAGTCTTAATGAACAACCCCATTTATGAATGCAATTTTACATAAAAGACAATTGATGCCTTTTGATCTTTTCTAGAATGGCTCTCAGTGTAGTTGCTTAAGAAACACTTTAGCAAAAACAATTTGAAGACCTACATTACAATCATACCCTCCTATATCGGAAATTGAAAATGAGTCTCTGATTCATTATGTGCTCTTTTGAAGATAAGAACACCTGTCAACCACTTCTTTTTTTTAGATATCCGGGACAGTGGAGGACCTAAACCAGTGATGGTGTATATCCATGGTGGCTCGTACATGGAAGGCACTGGAAATTTATATGATGGGAGCGTCTTGGCGAGCTATGGCAATGTGATTGTCATCACTGTCAACTATCGGCTTGGAGTACTTGGTAAGAGATCTCTTTTTTTCGCCATTAATACATATAGTATGCAATAATTTTCTTTTGACTTGTTTTTCTTTGTTTTATTGGGTTTCACCCTAGTCTAAGCTTGTTGACATTTTTGACCATGATTTCTTCTTAGTCCGAATGAGTCCTACAAATTTTCTTGAATTTTGTGACAAAAACAGCAAAGGAGCAATTTGAAGTGTGGAACTAAATGAGAATGACGTCATTCACCTTAGAGAGAAATATACTTTTTAGTTTGGATTCATAGAAAGATGAAAGATGCCAGGAGTAAGCGCTTCCTTAAAAAGAGTTAGTTTCTGCAACAATTTTTCCTCCTTCTGCTTTTCTTTTTTACAGTGCGATAAAATTGCTTGAGGTTTGCCATGAACTTAGAACCATGTTTATGTTCTCTTCTGGAATATGTGTATGGACTGGATTTAGGGAATGATTATTTCCTGTTGTTTTCTGGGCTTATTATTTTTCTTTTTCATCCTAAAATGATTTTGATCGTGCCTCTGAATTCATTTTGCTTGAGCTATTTATTTTGGAAAAATGTGCATTGATTTTAAATAGTGGCAAAGGGTTTGGCTTAATAATGCATATTGTTGCAAATAAATTATGATACCAAAGTAGAGCTCCTTAATTTGGAAGAAAAGTATTGGAGAATTTTTTGTAGAATACCTTTTCATTTTGCCTGAGGTAGGCATTTTGTTTCATGTAATAAGTAATTTACAAAAGATAAATTTACCATTCTATGACAAGAAATTTGTTAGAGTTGACACAATTGAAAGAGTAAAATTCCCATATAATTTAATGAACTTGTGCATCTGTGATGTTTTAGTCAATAGGATTTACTAAAAACCATAATTGCTTTTTGAAAGATGTGAATTTTTTAGTTTCCACTGTTCTCAAAATTTATCCTATTCCTTCAAACTGAAAATATAATTTATCATTTGTTACTTGGATGGAAGTACTTTACTCTTTCATTCTTGATTTCAAATTTTTTAGTTTGAACTATGTTTTGATTTGTAATTATTTTTAATAGTAAATATAGTTAGACATATTGAAAATTACATTATTTTGCTTGTTCAATGTTATTATTTTTCTATATTTATGTTTATAAAAATAGATTAATTTGTGTCAGCTAAGTTTGTATATTGTTGGGAAAGAAATACTTTTGAGTTTGTCATTGTCCTTGTTGGCTATTTTGAAATTTGGAGTATGGTGTATAGCATAATATACTGCAGTAATGTATATATGAAATATTTTTATTGCTCAAGTATGCATTAATTTTCTCACAGTACCTAATAATGCATTGTTGTTCCTCAATGAAAAAATCTACATATTAGGAGATATATAATTGTTTTCATAAAGACTGTCAAATATTTCAAACATTTATATCATGCCATTGATTTACTATGAGAAATTTAATATGAGGGTTTCAATATTTTCAATTCTTTTAATTTGAACTACAGTATTGTTCCTAGTATAACTTTTATTCATTACTATTTTCATACTTTTCTCAATTTCTCTAGCTGAAATCTTGAGTAGGGAGCAGCAGATTGAAAAGTTAAAATTGAACACCTATTGCGACTGTTTT